GACGCTGCTCTCTCTACAACAGTCTGATAGAGCTCTGACTGCAGACGCTGCTCCCTCTACAGTCTGATAGAGCTCTGACTGCAGACGCTGCTCCCTCTACAGTCTGATACAGCTCTGACTGCAGACGCTGCTCCCTCTACAACAGTCTGATAGAGCTCTGAATGCGGACGCTGCTCCCTCTACAACAGTCTCATAGAACTCTGACTGCAGACGCTGCTCCCTCTACAACAGTCTGATAGAGCTCTGACTGCAGACGCTGCTCCCTCTACAACAGTCTGATAGAGCTCTGACTGCAGACGCTGCTCCCTCTACAGTCTGATACAGCTCTGAATGCAGACACTGCTCCCTCTACAACAGTCTGATACAGCTCTGACTGCAGACGCTGCTCCCTCTACAACAGTCTGATACAGCTCTGACTGCAGACGCTGCTCCCTCTACAACAGTCTGTTTGAACTGTGCTATACAAATAAACTTGCCTCACAGTCAAATCTAACCTGTAAATATGCAACAAGATTCCCCTTTGAATTTTGAAAAACAGCACAATCCACCAGACCCCTCCCACATACCCCCCCCCCCCCCCCCCCAGCACATGCACAGGCAGAGGAGGAGGTACCTGTTGTCATCATTCTCGTTCCCGATTGGGCCATTTCAGCGTGAAGAAGAGAGAGGGCAGACGTGACTACAGGGATTTGGGAGAGTGTAGAAGTAGTAGTAGTAGTAGTAGTAGTAGTCAGGGCTGGACTGGGACAAAAAAACGGCCCGGGCAATTTTTACCTTCTTAGCGGCCCAGGCAACTCAAAAGGTTCAAGGAGCCATATTTGACAAAAAAACTAAAAACAACATCTGTCTGGAGCCGCAAAAAAAAAAAAAAACAGCGTTGTACAGTATAAGGCTTATATGAAGGTAACAGGGGCTGAAGCTGTATTAGCTACATTAGCTACATTATCTATATTAGCTATATTAGCCTAATATCTAAATGACAAAGTAAAGGCTACAAACACATAAAAACCATTCATGATTATCAAATGTGTATTTTCATTGCAGCGTGTCCTGGAGAGAATGACGCACCATGTGACGACTCTGTTTTAAGTTTAACCTTCATGCAATTGTACAAATACAGTAAATAAATCTGCTTTTTGGCTCCGAGTTCACCTGCATCACTGTCTGTTCATATCCATCACAGGCTGAAGTTTGCTGGAGCTGAATGTCCTTAATGGCCTTTTCTTTCACCGTCTTTGAGAAGGTTTTTGAAGTCTGAAAATAGGTGCTCTGACTTTATGATGAATGAATCTTTCAGTGAACGGTGTTTAAAGCTTAATTTTTCCTCCTGTTGCAACAAAACTTTTCATTACATCGCAAACATGAAGCAGTCCTTCCTCATTGACTGAAAGCAAATGTCCATTCTCATTCTTAGTCCGGTCTTATCGACTCTCTCTCTTTATCTTTGAGATCCATGCGCACACACAGTCTATGATGTTTGTTTACAGCAGCGGCCCCCTGGCGCGGGCCGCGTCACAGGATATGACGCACTACGTTGACAGAAATGCTAAAATTGAATATTACTTATACAAGTTTTTGCAGCATTGAAAAACGTTAAGAATGTTTTTACAGAAAACCACATTGAAACTAGAAATAAAATATAGCCCTCACACTCCATTTTCAGACGTTTTTGAAAAGTCTCCAGGAGCCACTTTAGGGGCACTAAAGGTTGCCGACCCCTGGTTTATACAGAATGTGGAAGCAAATACTGTAGAGGATCAGGATGTCTGCAGTTTCATCAATAAAATAAAGTACAATAGTCTACATTAAACAGAATAATAAACATGTCTCAGAGTGAGGGAGGTGGGCACAGACAATACTATTGTTTGTTACAGGGATGAGAATTGGTCAAAAATGTCTGAAATGCATATTTTCAGCCATTAGCTGGCTCTAAATCTGTTTAATCTGTTCACAACATTTTACTTTTGGGCTCAAACATGAGCTTTTAATGCAATGGAATATTTAGGTACCCAAGCTTTAATTTAGAGGAGAGGGGAGACGCGGACTGTTTTCTGCAGCGGTGCATTTATTGGGTGCACAAATTACGCAAAGACATGCATGGTCCTGTGCGCGTTTATGGTCTTGGGTACATGGTCACGTTGCGGCTACGCGCTCACCGTGTTGTGTTGTGAGCGGTTCCTGCGTCCAGCTCAGAGCCGCTGGATGCGGGAACACTGCGGCCGCTGAGGTGGTGGAATCCCGTTCAAGTACATACAGCAGGTGCCCCGCGGACACGCGCGCTCCCCTCGAACATTTCTCAATGGATTTACACTTTTCACAAACATGTTTTTTGTATGAGGCAGACAGACCGGCCCAAATATGGGCATCGGCCCTTCGGGCATTGCCCGGTACGCCTGATGGCCAGTCCAGCCTTGGATGTAGTATTAGTAGTAGTAATACTAGTAGAAGTAGTTGCAGCAGTATTAGTAGTAGTAGTAGTAGTTGCAGCAGTATTAGTAGTAGTAGTAGTTACAGCAGTATTAGTAGTAGTAGTAGTTGCAGCAGTTTTAGTTGTAGATGTAGTAGTAGTAGTAGTAGTAAAAATAGTAGTAGTAGTTCTCAGTTTAAAAGACCGTAAATAAACTGAAGAATTCAAATCAGAGAGAGACCAGAGAGACCAGAGAGAGAGACCAGAGAGAGACTAGAGAGAGACCAGAGAGAGACCAGGGAGAGAGACCAGAGAGAGACCAGAGAGAGAGACCAGAGAGAGACCAGAGAGAGACTAGAGAGAGACCAGAGAGAGACCAGAGAGAGAGACCAGAGAGAGACCAGAGAGAGAGACCAGAGAGAGACCAGAGAGAGAGACCAGAGAGAGAGACCAGAGAGAGACCAGAGAGGGACCAGAGAGAGACCAGAGAGAGAGAGAGACCAGAGAGAGACCAGAGAGAGAGACCAGAGAGAGAGACCAGAGAGAGAGGCCAGAGAGAGAGACCAGAGAGAGAGGCCAGAGAGAGAGACCAGAGAGAGACCAGAGAGAGAGGCCAGAGAGAGAGACCAGAGAGAGACCAGAGAGAGAGAGAGAGAGAGAGACCAGAGAGAGACCAGAGAGAGACCAGAGAGAGAGAGAGACCAGAGAGACCAGAGAGAGACCAGAGAGAGACCAGAGAGAGATACCAGAGAGAGAGGCCAGAGAGAGACCAGAGAGAGACCAGAGAGAGAGGCCAGAGAGAGAGACCAGAGAGAGACCAGAGAGAGAGAGAGACTAGAGAGACCAGAGAGAAACCAGAGAGAGAGGCCAGAGAGAGAGACCAGAGAGAGAGGCCAGAGAGAGAGGCCAGAGAGAGAGGCCAGGGAGAGAGACCAGAGAGAGACCAGAGAGAGAGAGAGACCAGAGAGAAACCAGAGAGAGAGGCCAGAGAGAGAGACCAGAGAGAGAGGCCAGAGAGAGAGACCAGAGAGAGAGAGACCAGAGAGAGACCAGAGAGAGAGGCCAGAGAGAGAGACCAGAGAGAGAGACCAGAGAGGGACCAGAGAGAGACCAGAGAGAGAGAGAGACCAGAGAGAGACCAGAGAGAGACCAGAGAGAGAGACCAGAGAGAGAGGCCAGAGAGAGAGAGGCCAGAGAGAGAGACCAGAGAGAGACCAGAGAGAGAGAGAGACCAGAGAGACCAGAGAGAGACCAGAGAGAGACCAGAGAGAGAGTACCAGAGAGAGAGGCCAGAGAGAGAGGCCAGAGAGAGAGACCAGAGAGAGACCAGAGAGAGACCAGAGAGAGAGGCCAGGGAGAGAGACCAGAGAGAGACCAGAGAGAGAGAGAGACTAGAGAGACCAGAGAGAAACCAGAGAGAGAGGCCAGAGAGAGAGACCAGAGAGAGAGACCAGAGAGAGACCAGAGAGAGAGGCCAGAGAGAGACCAGAGAGAGACCAGAGAGAGACCAGAGAGAGAGACCAGAGAGAGAGACCAGAGAGAGAGACCAGAGAGAGACCAGAGAGAGAGGCCAGAGAGAGAGACCAGAGAGAGACCAGAGAGAGACCAGAGAGAGACCAGAGAGAGAGACCAGAGGGAGAGACCAGAGAGAGACCAGAGAGAGACCAGAGAGAGAGACCAGAGATGAAAAAAAAACATCAAAACAGCGAGGCTGAGTGAGGGACTGAACAGGACCAAACTGTTGCTGGTTTCGTTGTTGAAAGGATTAATAAAGTTTGAGTGAGTTCAAATCTACGACACACAGTTAGTGACAGCGACAGTCCACGGTCTAATGGAACCTGGAACAAAGAACACATCTCACTGCAGCAGACCAGCACCAAACACTGACACCATGTGACCATGTGACCATCTGACCATGGGACCACGCTTGGGCTTCATGGACCCCCCCCCCCCCCCCCCCCCCACAACCATTTGGCATGGGGGAGGGGCTGGTGTGGATCCCTATATTTACGAATACACATTTGTACAAAACATACTCCTTTGTAATCCAGGAAAGAGACGCTAGTCCTGGGTCTGGGTCTACAGGATCAGTCCTGGGTCCACAGCCTCAGTCCTGGGTCTGGGTCTACAGCCTCAGTCCTGGGTCTGGGTCTACAGCCTCAGTCCTGGGTCTGGGTCTACAGTCTCAGTCCTGGGTCTACAGCCTCAGTCCTGGGTCTACAGCCTCTGTCCTGGGTCTACAGCCTCTGTCCTGGGTCTACAGTCTCAGTCCTGGGTCTACAGCCTCTGTCCTGGGTCTACAGCCTCAGTCCTGGGTCTGGGTCTACAGCCTCTGTCCTGAGTCTACAGCCTCTGTCCTGGGTCTACAGTCTCAGTCCTGGGTCTACAGCCTCTGTCCTGGGTCTACAGCCTCTGTCCTGGGTCTACAGCCTCAGTCCTGGGTCTGGGTCTACAGCCTCTGTCCTGAGTCTACAGCCTCTGTCCTGGGTCTACAGTCTCAGTCCTGGGTCTACAGCCTCTGTCCTGGGTCTACAGCCTCTGTCCTGGGTCTACAGCCTCAGTCTCCTTTCAGATGGCCTGTACAAAGACTTACTGGTAATCAAAGGATCCATCTTGGTCTTTGTGGTCCACAGGGTCCAGGGGGAGGTCTTTCTTGTCGCGCACTGAGGCAAAAGAACACATGAATAATGAAGAACATTTAGTGAAAGAAAGATCTGAGAATAAAGCTGCAGCGAGAGAAGGTTCTGTTATGAGGAAATATGTTAGTGCCCTATGAACCTGAGGAGCACAGGGACTGGCCTCCTGCTGGGACTCTGAGGAGCACAGGGACTGGCCTCCTGCTGGGACTCTGAGGAGCACAGGGACTGGCCTCTTGCTGGGACTCTGAGGAGCACAGGGACTGGCCTCCTGCTGGGACTCTGAGGAGCACAGGGACTGGCCTCCTGCTGGGACTCTGCTTCAGATGTATGCAGCTAAAATCTGAAACCGTCTTCTCTGACTATGTTCTGGTTAAAAACAGTTACTTTTTGCTGCTGCAACTGAACTTTGTTTTCACTCATGTGTGATTTTAATGTTTCTTTTCTCGCTGGTCTCTCTCTGGTCTCTCTCTGGTCCCCCTCTGGTCTCCCTCTGGTCTCCCTCTGGTCTCCCTCTGGTCCCTCTCTGGCCTCTGGTCTCTCTCTCTCTGATCTTTCTCTGGTCTCTCTCTGGTCTCTCTCTGCTCGCTCTCTCTGGTCTCTCTCTGGTCTCTCCGTGGTCTCTCCCTGGTCTCTCTCTGGTCCCTCTCTGGTCCCTCTCTGGTCCCTCTCTGGTCCCTCTCTGGTCGCTCTCTGGTCCCTCTCTGGTCCCTCTCTGGTCCCTCTCTGGTCCCTCTCTGGTCCCTCTCTGGTCCCTTTCTGGTCTCTCTCTGGTCTCTCTCCGATCCCTCTCTGGTCCCTCTCTGGTTTCCCCTGGTCCCTCTCTGGTCTATCTCTCTGGTCTCTCTCTGGTCTCTCTCTGGTCTCTGGTCCCTCTCTGGTCCCTCTCTGGTCCCTCTCTGGTCTATCTCTCTGGTCTCTCTCTGGTCTCTCTCACCCGGGGGAGGGGTTAGTAAACTCGCTGTTCCAACACCTACCCAGAGGTTCTGTGAGAGCAGCGATCCAACCCCCGCCTACACATCACACATGCTGCTCAAAGGCACAAGGGCACACAGTGAACCACATCCTACACTTTTGTTTTTGCTCCGTTTTAAGACTTTCAGTGATTCAGCAAAAGGAAATTAGAAATACAACCTTAAGACTTCAAACTGTATGTGACGCTGTTTATGGAGCCCCCTGCTGGTGGAGTGTGGGAACTACACTGTGTCTGTCATCATTCAGATGTAGTCTGTTCATTTCTATTGATCCGCTGTATGTATGCGAGTTTAAAGGGCAGGTACTGTGAGTTTAAAGGGCCGGTACCCTGAGTTTAAAGGGAAGGTACCCTGAGTTTAAAGGGCAGGTACCCTGAGTTTAATGGGCAGGTACTCTGAGTTTAAAGGGCAGGTACTCTGAGTTTAAAGGGCAGGTACTCACCTGGGTACTTTCCTCCTCGGCTCCTCTTGATGAAGCACACGATGAGGAGAATGAGGATGATGAGGGCGATGGCACACATCAGACCGATGAACCAGCCCTGAGTGGCAATGTCCACCTGGTCCATGTAGGCTGCACACACACAGAGACACACACACACACACACAGTCATTTATTTCAGAGTTCTGTTTGACGTCTGAGGCTTTTATTAACTCTTTAAAACGTCCTTTTTCAAATTTCAGAGAGAGAGAGACCAGAGAGAGACCAGAGAGACCAGAGAGAGTCCAGAGACCAGAAAGAGACCAGAGAGACCAGAGAGAGTCCAGAGAGAGACCAGAGAGAGACCAGAGAGAGACCAGAGAGAGACCAGAGAGAGTCCAGAGAGAGACCAGAGAGAGACCAGAGAGAGACCAGAGAGAGACCAGAGAGAGTCCAGAAAGAGACCAGAGAGAGACCAGAGAGAGACCAGAGAGAGACCAGAGAGAGACCAGAGAGAGTCCAGAGAGAGTCCAGAGAGTGAGACCAGAGAGGGCCAGTGGTCTTAGTAAGAGAATATAAACATGAATGAATTGTCGTAAAAACACATTCACGATAATTACCAGAAGTTGCTTCATGATGGTTCAGTGACATCACATCCTTTACTGGTGTCAGAAATATATTGTTTCTACTCACAGACTATTTCTCCCACAAATAATCTCAGAACTAGAAAATCTGAAGATGTTTGTTTTACCATAAAACATGAAACTGTGGACAAACATTAGTGAAAACACAGTTTCTGCACATTATTCATTCACTCCACACAGTAATACTGCAGCCACAGCTGCCCTGAGGCACACTGACAAAGCATTGGCTCCTCAGACCATCATTCACGCTCACACCAGACTCATTCTAGACAACGTGGGGGAAGTGTCTGACCTAAGGACACAAGGGTAGATAGGCCTGGGTTACCATTAACTCCTAGAGCAGAGCCAGTACTTGTTACCATAGCAACGCACAGTTTTCTGTAAGCAGTTAGCCCTTGTTGTATTTAAGTTATTTTCACCAGTTTCAGCACAAAAACATTTTTGGAGAAGTTTCTCATAATGCATATCCCACATGGTCCCTGGCCAAGTACATATATGTATATAAATAAGCCCACATGGTACACACATTGTACACACATGGGACACCGGGTCATGGTACCTGGCTTGGTCTTAAAGCTGTAGGTAGAGCTGGAGACAGTGTTGACCTCAGAGGAGAAAACCCGGAGGTGGTACATGGTACCTGCCACCAGGTCCGACACTGACGCTGGCGGCTGTTTCACCTGGACATTTCGCACAGTCCTGTTGCCTTGGAAACACAAAAGAGCCAATCACACTCGAGGGGCGTGGCCTTGGTTCCACAACAACACAGCAGGCACAGGCTCGGGGCGTGAGATGTAATGATGTCCACATTCAAACCCTTTTAACACTTGCATCTAGACTAAAGATATAGAACTAAAACCAGACCAAAGCAGACCAAACTGATTTCAGCATCAACACTGGGTTTTAGAGTCGTTCCTCTGAGGCAGGAGGCTCTAAAGACTCTCCACATTTATCCACATTCACAGACACTGGTCTCTGTTTGGTATCATTGTATTTCCTGTATTTTAACTGTCTGATTCTCTAATCTGTGCTGGAGAATCGACAGCTTTGTAAAGTCCTCAGAGAAAACTACTGTTGTGATTTAGGGCGATACAAGAATAAATTGAATTGAATGTGGCACAGCATTGGTCTTCACACTTATCAATATATAAGTAAAACACAATCAGTCATGATCCGTGAGCATGACGTCCGTCACCATGGCAATACATGCCCCATGACACCATCTCCATGACAACACATGCCCCATGACAACCATCTCCATGACGACACATGCCCCATGACAACCATCTCCATGACAACACACGCCCCATGACAACCATCTCCATGACGACACATGCCCCATGACAACCATCTCCATGGCACCATTTGCCCCATGACAATCATCTCCTTGACGACACATGCCCCATGACAACCATCTCGATGTCAACATATACCCCATGACAACCATCTCGATGTCAACATATACCCCATGACAACCATCTCCATGACGACACATGCCCCATGCCAGCGACCTGCGTTCAGAGCCATGCACCCACCCCTCTGCGTGAGTTGACAACAGTACCATGAAGACCCATGGTACCTACATCGACAGTACCATGAAGACCCATAGTACCTACATCGACAGTACTATGAGGGCCCATAGTACCTACATCGACAGTACTATGAGGGCCCATAGTACCTACATCGACAGTACCATGAAGACCCATAGTACCTACATTGACAATACCATGAAGACCCATAGTACCTACATCGACAGTACCATTAAGACCCATAGTTTCTGCATCGACAGTACCATGAAGACGCATAGTACCTACATCGACAGTACCATGAAGACCCATTGTACCGTGTTGTTTCACGGTCACAGACCAGGTGAAGCAGGTGAAAACAGTTGAAGCAGTGCAGTGAAGCAGCACACAGCAGAACAGCGCCCTCTTCAGGCTAAAGCATAATGCCAAAGATTTGAATGCAGCAAAAGTAAAATGATATATTCTGTAAATGGAAAATGAAAGTGATTGAGGCTGAGCACAAGCACAGTGTGAGCAGTAGACACCAGAGCGAGCACCATGTGAGCAGTAGACACCAGAGCGAGCTTTCCCATCACTCCTTTCATGTTTGAGTCAGTCCTGACTTTGAGAAACTCCTCAAAGCCTTTTCAGAACAAAATGTGTGTCTGAAAAATCCACTGAGATCCACATGGCCCGACTCAGGGAACCCCAGAGTAAGAAACATGTCCCAATGACCTTCATTTGTGACATTTATGGACTCTATGTGTTTTATATCATTGTGTTTCCTGTACTGTTTGATTCTCTGATCTGTGTTGGAGAATCAACTATTGTGTGAGTGGGACACAGCACCCTCTGGTGGCTGTTTTTTGGACACAGCGCCCTCTGGTGGTTATTGTGTGAGTGGGACACAGCACCCTCTGGTGGTTATTGTGTGAGTGGGATACAGCACCCTCTGGTGGCTGTCGTGTGGGACACAGCGCCCTCTGGTGGCTGTTGTGTGGGACACAGCGCCCTCTGGTGGCTGTTGTGAATCTTACTGTCCAGAGTGACCTCTATCACAAACTGGCTTCTGGGCGGGAGGTTGTGTCTCCAGCTGACATTAGCGAGGTGACTGTTGGGCTCCACTGTGAGGTTCCAGATGTCCCAGCCCGATGCCACTGTGGGGTTAAAGAGCCAACATCAGCACCAGCACCAGCACCAGCACCGGCACCAGCACCAGCAGATCCTGGTCCGATATCTATGCATACTTTACTACAGGGAACTGGTGGTTTTGAATGTACTCCGAGAGAGAGAGAGAGACATACAGTATTTAGATTCCATCACTTCTGTATTTTAATTCTGCTGTTATCTCACGATTATCTACGACTGATACAGATGTGAGAGGAGCTAACGTCAGAATGATACAGATGTGAGAGGAGCTAACGTCAGAATGATACAGATGTGACAGGAGCTAACGTCAGAATGATACAGATGTGACAGGAGCTAACGTCAGAATGATACAGATGTGACAGGAGCTAACGTCAGAATGATACAGATGTGACAGGAGCTAACGTCAGAATGATACAGATGTGACAGGAGCTAACGTCAGAATGATACAGATGTGACAGGAGCTAACGTCAGAATGATACAGATGTGACAGGAGCTAATGTCAGAATGATACAGATGTGACAGAAGCTAACGTCAGTGTAAAGTCAGTGAAACCAGCACAGACACTAATCCTACAGTAACAGTAAGTATTATTATAACACGTATTTCTGGGATCTGATCTTTATGTGGCTGTGTTTTACATCCTGTGGCTACAGCTGCAGAACACAGGGTAATGATGAGACAGGAGTAACTCTGTGGTGGGAGGAGCTTAGAGCAAAGAGTGAAAAGATGAGAACAGATCCCTGTGTTCACAGGGTCAGAGCAGAGCCCTGTGCTCACAGGGTCAGAACAGAGCCCTGTGCTCACAGGGTCAGAGCAGAGCCCTGTGCTCACAGCGTCAGAGCAGAGCCCTGTGCTCACAGGGTCAGAGCAGAGCCCTGTGCTCACAGGGTCAGAGCAGAGCCCTGTGCTCACAGGGTCAGAGCAGAGCCCTGTGCTCACAGGGTCAGGGCAGTACAAAGGGACGACAGCATGTACCCAGCACATTCACATCGGAGGCTGTCCCTTCGGAGGTGGAACGAGCCGTGGGAGTAGAAACCTCTGCTGTTGTTGTTGTCTTGGCAGCAGTAGTAGTACTGGGAACTGCAGTAGTAGTACTAGGAACTGTAGTAGTAGTAACTGCAGTAGTAGTACTGGGAACTGCAGTAGTAGTACTGGGAACTGTAGTAGTAGTAACTGCAGTAGTGGTAGTTGGAGAAGCAGTAGGTGAAGGAGGAAGAGGAGGAGGAGAGAAGGCTGACGACAGCGGCACATCGGTCTGCTCCACTGGAGATCAGAGAGACACAGTTAACACACAACAAGAGGAGACACACAACAAGAGGAGACACACAACAAGAGGAGATCCCACACAGGGTGAAATAACACAATGCAAACATGCTGAGTCATGGTCCACGAGTCAAATGGTTGTGATGCACTAAAAGTGATCAAAAGTTTCATATCTGCCCCAGGGGCCAACACCCATCACTGAGCACCAGGGGCTCCAGGGCCCCGGCTGATATGAGCTGAGTGAAGGGGCCACAGATGCAGAGATTCTCAGAGGTCTCTTTCCTTCTGCAGACTGGAAACTGACGCGGAACAATCAATACAAACGGTGTATTATTAATTCATGGACATTAATCAGAATCAGAATCAGAATCATTTTTATTGCCACGTAAGTAACAGGAGGTCACAGACTTGGAAATTGCTTTGGCTCAGTGCAACAGTCAGAGAGAGATAATAAAAATAAGAATAAAAAACACTTCTAAAGAATACATTTAAATTTAAAATAGAGTTAAAGTTACTATTTACAATATACAAGTGCACATGGTGCACACAATGTAAGGTGACAGCAGTACAGTGAAGTAAAGTGACGTATGATGGGCAGTAAAGTGACTTTATAAAGGGCGGGGGGACAGGTTAAGAAGTGTTCAAGAGTCCAACAGCAGAGGGGAAGAAACTGTTCTTGTGGCGGGAGGTTCTAGTCCTGATGGACTAAAGGGGACGTATGATGCTGGTTTGCGGTATATACAGTCTACACTGCGACACACTCCACAGAGAGTATAGTCTACACTGCGACACACTCCACAGAGAGTATAGTCTACACTGCGACACACTCTACAGAGAGTATAGTCTACACTGCGACACACTCCACAGAGAGTATAGTCTACACTGCGACACACTCTACAGAGAGTATAGTCTACACTGCGACACACTCTACAGAGAGTATAGTCTACACTGCGACACACTCTACAGAGAGTATAGTCTACACTGCGACACACTCCACAGAGAGTATAGTCTACACTGCGACACAATCCACAGAGAGTATAGTCTACACTGCGACACACTCCACAGAGAGTACAGTCTACACTGCGACACACTCCACAGAGAGTATAGTCTACACTGCGACACACTCTACAGAGAGTATAGTCTACACTGCGACACACTCCACAGAGAGTACAGTCTACACTGCGACACACTCCACAGAGAGTATAGTCTACACTGCGACACACTCCACAGAGAGTATAGTCTACACTGCGACACACTCCACAGAGAGTATAGTCTACACTGCGACACACTCTACAGAGAGTATAGTCTACACTGCGACACACTCCACAGAGAGTATAGTCTACACTGCGACACACTCTACAGAGAGTATAGTCTACACTGCGACACACTCCACAGAGAGTATAGTCTACACTGCGACACACTCCACAGAGAGTTTACATGGAAGTGGGAAAATGAGATTTCTCAGAAAAAAAATCAATGCAAATAAAACACTATTGTCCATAATACGTCCCCTTTAAGACCCCCGCCTCATCACTTTGATCCACGATGGTGAAATGATGACACTTTACAGATCAAAGAACAGTGATCGTTTTGGTCCTAGTGTGGGTCATGTGACATGGGTCATGTGACATGAGGAGAAATGTAGAAAACAAACAGGTCTATGCTCGAACTTAAACGTGCAGAAATCCACCAGAGACGATCCACTCCCAGACTCTGTGATCTACTTTAATCCTCTTTTGTGTGTGTGTGTTTCTGTGTAATTGTCTGTGTGTGTGTGTGTGTGTCAATGTGTGTCTGTGTGTGTGTGTGTGTGTGTGTGTGTGTGTGTGTGTGTGTGTGTGTGTGTGTGTGTGTGTGTGTGTGTGTGTGTGTGTGTGTGTGTGTGTGTGTGTGTGTGTGTGTGTGTGTGTGTATCCTCTAGAACAGACTGTGATGAGTCTGGGAGCTTCACTGAGAGCAGGGGGAGGTGAGGAGGAGCAGGAGGAGAAGCAGGAGAAGGAGGAGGAGAAGGAGGAGGAGGAACAGGAGGAGAAGCAGGAGTAGGCGCAGGAGGAGGAGGAACAGGAGTAGGAGGAGGTGGAGCAGGAGAAGGAGGAGGAGGAGGAGGTGAGCAGGAAGAGGAGCAGGAGGACCCGAAGGAGGTGAAGGAGCAGGAGGAGGTGAGTCATACCTAGACCAGTGTCATCAGTGAAATTCTCTGCTGAGACAAAACAAGAGTGAAACATCCACAAACTGCTGTCGCTATAGAAACATGAATCTCACAGGTACTTCAGGTACTACAGGTACAACAAGTACTACAGGTACTACAGGTACAACAAGTACTACAGATACTACAGGAGGACCTACTAGAGAAGGACCTACAGATACTTCAGGTACTACAGGTACTACAGGTACAACAGGTACAAAAGGAGGACCTACAGGTACTACAGGAGGACCTACTAGAGAAGGACCTACAGGTACTTCAGGTACTACAGGTACTACAGGTACAACAGGTACAAAAGGAGGACCTACAGGTACTACAGGAGGACCTACAGAAGGACCTACAGAAGGGACCTACAGGTACTACAGGAGGCCCTACAGAAGGACCTACAGGTACTACAGGAGGACCTACGGGTACTACAGGAGGACCTACAGGTACTACAGGAGGCACTACGGGTACTACAAGAGGACCTACAGGTACTACAGGAGGACCTACAGAAGGACCTACAGAAGGGACCTACAGGTACTACAGGAGGACCTACAGAAGGACCTACGGGTACTACAGGAGGACCTACGGGTACTACAGGAGGACCTACAGAAGGACCTACGGGTACTACAGGAGGACCTACGGGTACTACAGGAGGACCTACGGGTACTACAGGAGGACCTACAGGTACTACAGGAGGACCTACAGAAGGACCTACGGGTACTACAGGAGGACCTACGGGTACTACAGGAGGACCTACAGAAGGACCTACAGAAGGGACCTACAGGTACTACAGGAGGACCTACAGAAGGACCTACAGGTACTACAGGAGGACCTACAGAAGGACCTACAGGTACTACAGGAGGACCTACAGAAGGACCTACAGGTACTACAGGAGGACCTACGGGTACTACAGGTACTACAGGAGGACCTACAGAGGGACCTACCAAAGGACCTACAGGTACTACAGGAGGACCTACAGGAGGACCTACAGGTAGGGCGGCACGGTGGCTGAGTGGATAGCACTCTCGCCTCTCAGCAAGAAGGTCCTGGGTTCAAATCCCGGTCGGACCAGGGCCTTTCTGAGTGGAGTTTGCATGTTCTCCCCGTGTCTGCGTAGGTTTCCTCCGGGTACTCCGGTTTCCCCTACCACTAAAAATATGTCCAATGCAGTGAAAAGGCGGTATATAAATAAAGATTACTTAATTACTTACTACAGGAGGACCTACAGGTACTACAGGAGGACCTACAGGTACTTCAGGAGAACCTACAGAAGGACCTACAGAAGGACCAACAGGAGGACCTACAGGTACTACAGGAGGACCTACAGAAGGACCAACAGGAGGACCTACAGGTACTACAGAAGGACCTACAGAAGGACCAACAGGAGGACCTACAGGTACTACAGGAGGACCTACAGGATGACCTATAGAAGGACCTACAGGTACTACAGGAGGACCTACTGTACAGGAGGACCTACAGGTACTACAGGAGGACCTACGGTTACTACAGGAGGACCTACAGGAGGACCTACAGGTACTACAAAAGGAGAATTCTACACCTTTGTTCAAACGACACCACACAAAGCTCCTTCAGTTTCTATTTTCACTGCTGCTGTTAAAGAAGGATGTTGGTTCTTTCCTGTATTTGGCCTGAGGAAGATCAGGATGAGAGAGACCAGAGAGAGAGACCAGAGAGAGACCAGAGGGAGACCAGAGAGAGACCAGAGAGAGACCAGAGAGAGAGACCAGAGAGAGACCAGAGAGAGACCAGAGGGAGAGACCAGAGGGAGACCAGAGAGAGACCAGAGAGAGAGACCAGAGAGAGACCAGAGAGAGAGACCAGAGAGAGACCAGAGAGAGAGACCAGAGAGAGACCAGAGGGAGAGACCAGAGAGAGACCAGAGAGACCAGAGGGAGACCAGAGAGAGACCAGAGAGAGGACTGTGAGCTTCCTGTTCTGGAGGTTTTTTATAAATCAAGACTTTTAAACTGAGTTTTTCAAATAATCAATGACTCCTCTGGCTCCTGGAAAAGCCATGTTCCAGCTTCTTCCCTCTGGCAGAAGATATTGTTGGCTGAGATGCAGGACATCTGGTCATGGTCTGTCCCGATGGTAAGATCCACGGTCAGTCCCGATGGTCAGATCCACGGTCAGTCTCGATGGTATTTAACCAGGAAAGTCTGATGCTTGTACCATGGACGTCCTAAACATGATCAGAAGTGACATGTTCTGGTTCTGGTTCTTGTCCTGGTCCTGGTTCTGGCCCTGTGCAGCTGGTACAGAACCAGATGGATTTTACCATAAAAGCGATTTATAAAAGAGTTCAGAACCAGGAGCACTAAGACCTGCTCTACTCTATACATTCAAGTCTCCAAACATGTGGATGTACGTGCCTGGTGTGATGGCAAGCTGCCTAGCCTCGGGGACGCCAACTCACCCCCCCTGCTGCTCTATTCAATTAACCTGCAGGAAGGAGCCGGGCTCCCCCCCGCACCGACAGACAATGACGCAAATAACTGTCTCACCCTTGTCCCTTTTGCATCTTGCATCTGTATCGGTCCGTATGTCTGCATCTCTACATCCTGCATGTCTATTGTCTCTCTGTTTGCATCTCCATGGGACAGTCTGATTGTCTCTCCCCAAAGATGGCGCCTCGCCTCCGGATGCCCGTCTCAAACTGTGACCCCCTCCCATCTTTTGTGGGCGTGACTGTCTTTCATGTGTTGTCTATGTAAACAGGAACCTGGTCTGGCCGCGCCAGAGCTGATGTACGCTGCTTTTGTGTATGTGAGCTCTCCGCACGTGTGTTACAATAAACTTACGCTCCTGATTAAGACAAATACCTTTTGAGCTTCTTCCTTACTTTGGATAGAAACTTCTACAACAATTTGGCGTTGCTGACACGTTCTATGTCGGATTTTTTTTTCGGCGTGGAGACGATCGTGTGTTGTTTGGCCGACCTGGGACAAAAAACCAGCCTCCCCTACCTCACTTAGCGTTTGACGAGAAGCAGGAGGGACACCGCTCGCCTCGCGCAGGAAAAACTATTCGACTACAGGACCATAAAAGAACCTGATTTGGTGAGTTTTGTCTTTTCATTTGCGTAACAAGCCCAGGGCAGCACTTAAGTGTACACGGGGATTTGATTTATTTACGTATTTTTGGGGTATTTCATTCATTGCCACAGCATAGACTGTGTGCGGGATTTTTTGGGGTATTTTGTTCTAGATTGAAGCTAGCGGCTGCGTGTTAGTATCGCTCAGTAAGCGACCCTGAAGATATCTCTAGTGCCTTCAGCCAGGCCCGGTCCATTTCAAGAACGCGCGCTCGTTGGTTGAACCAGCGGGGGGGGAACGGATCGCTCCAAAGTGAGTAAGAGCAGGGAGAGACTAAACGAGGCTAGGTCCATTGTTCTGTACGAGAAAATGGGGAAAAATCAATCTAGAGATGCCACACCGCGGGGAATGTTGACGTCCCCCGTTACAATGGCAATGGAAAAACGGTTCGGATCTAAAGCTATGGAGTGCTTGCCTATATGGTGCAGTTCATTTGGCTTTCCCGACGGAGGCTCTATGTCTCTGAATCAATTACGCATTTTGTGTGATAATTTAGAAGAAGAAAGGGAAAAAATACTTGGTTTTAAGAAAATTACAGCAGAAGATGTTAGGGCCATACTGAAACACCAGACCTGTCTTGCCATGTGGGAGGATTTAGCTACAGAACGGGACCGCAAAAAGACGAATAAAGCCATAGCTGCTCCGCCTTCCACGGAAGGGGGGGACGCACAGGCAGACACACAGGCGGACACACACACACACACACACACACACACACATCCCACACACCCCCCACCCTACCGCCCCTTCTCACCTACTAACCCTTTCACAGAAGGAGCAGAACTCCATGCTAAGTACGCGCCCAAGCAAAGCGCTGTGTTAAAAAATGTGCAGACTACTGTTGTGCCCTCTCTCTCTCTCTACCCAGATCTGTCTACGCTTTCCTCCGTGGCCCCGCTGTATGAAACCGGCCCCTGTCCTACGCCTGAAACACCGCCGCGCCAGAGCCAACCACGTCAGTGCCTCCCAAAGCCTCTCGCATCTGCTGACGCCCCACAGGAAGTGGCCCCCGCGCTGTCAGCAGCAGAAGGAGAAGCACCAGAAGCAGAGCCGCGATGGAGCAGGGAAACGCTCCGGCGGGAACCAAGGCCCACAAATCACTTCGTCGCCACTTTCCCCATGATAGAGATGGTGGGCCGAGAAGGACCGGCGCTGGTCTTCAGACCCTGGGGGCCGAGCGAGTTTCTATCCGCTTCGCAACTGCTGTCTACACGGCCAGAGACAAACTGCTCAAAATTCTGCGAAGACCTGCTCGCTTTCTGTCGCGAATACAAGCCCTCAGGAGCGGAGTGCGCTCGGGTTCTCGTTTACAAGATGTCGCCTGCGGACTTTGGGAAATTTAAGCCATATTTGCCAGAGCCAGGACTACGGGCTAAAGAGATTGTGGAGTCAGACTCCGGAGCATATTTGACTGCCATAAAGAAAATGTGTGACGGGCTAGCAGCAGTTTTTCCACGCAAATACGACCTAACCATCCTGTCTAAATGCAAGCAGGAAAAAGGCGAAAGGGTCGAGGAGTACTATAGCCGCCTGTTGTCTGTGTTCAATGAACACTCTGGTGTACCCCCGAAGCTCCCAAGTGCAACGGAAGGGGAGGAGAAGGACAATCCCGTTTACAACGGTTATTTATGCTCCAGATTTGTCGAAGGACTGTTACCAGAGGTGGCTTTAAAGGTGCGGGACTCGTATGTCGCATTTGATGACGGACCACAGATAAAGGAACTACTTATGCACGCCAAACATGCAATTTTTTGTTTGGAAACATTTAAAACTCAGGCTACACTGCTGTCGGTCCAAGCCCCTAATTCCTTAAACCCCAATGACATTTCCAAAAAGGACAAAAAGGGATGGGAGAAAAACAACGGACCGTGGATATGCTGGAACTGTGGAAAAGTTGGCCACAGAGCAAGACAGTGTCGCAATCCGCGCAGAGCGGCGGCAGGGCAGCCGCGGCAGGCGGCCAGCAGCAGGGCGGCCAGCAGCACTGGCAGCCGCAGCAGAGCGGCCAGTGGCAGCCGCGGCAGAGCGGCCAGCACCAGTGCAGCCGCGGCAGGGCGGCCAGCACAGTGGCAGCAGAACCAGAACGTCCCGCAGGAGTGGCAACAAAACCACAACCGAGAGCCGGACCAGTACCAGCACCAGGCACAACAGAGTCAACACGGACAACAGCACCGCTATGAAGGCTCACAACACGGCAACCACCAGATGCGCCACGAGGCGGACTGACTAGGCGGGGACAGACAGCGGGCTGACGGTGAACACAGGGGTGCCACGAAGGAAACCGTACGGGAGACTCATCTACCGGGTAACGCACACATACACGTCACCGAAGCGATCACTCATCTTTCACGTAAGTTTGAACCAACTGCAATCGGCACGTACACATTTTTTGAGAAAATTCATGCTAAATTTCCAGAACATACGCTAACAATCTGTGGCGAAAATGTTACTTTTCTAGTTGACTCCGGGGCAACAAATTCTGTGCTAAAAAGTGACAGCCTTTCTGTCTCCCCTAAAATGAGTGGCCGCTTCACATTCTCATTAGCAGCGTCGGGAGAGACGACTAAAGAGCAATTTACGTCACCACTAACGTGTTTTGATTCTCAGGGCAACCAGCTTAAACATTCGTTTCTATATTCCCCATTGTGCCCGGTTAATCTACTAGGCCGAGACCTTAATGTGCAGACTCAATTTAAATCTGCTCTCAACACCAAGCGGCCTACGGGTGGTACACGCTAGTGACCTAGCAAATGCTCCATGTTTCACCGGCATGCACAAGGAGGCACCGGTCCCAAAAGTTAACTACCACTGGAAATTGACACCAAACCCTGAGATTGCTAAGTTATTAGCCACAACAGTGGATAGAGTTACGCCCGCACAAAATTTGGAGGTCAACCACGCGAACGACCTAAGCTGCTCTCTCCGGTCGTTCCCAGACAATAACTTGGAGTTTGAAAATTCATGGCTTCAGTGTAGCGAAGATAGGCTACAAACGGAGTATGTTTTTTTTTTTTGTAATTCAAGTTTTTATTGAAGTTTTCTTTTTTTTTTTTTTCCCTTGGTACAAAAAAAACCACAAACAAAACAGAAACAGTTGACGCTCATTATGACAATATGGCAACTATGTATACTTTCAGAAAAACATGGCTGGGGGCCATTATACACGGCAACAGAAAATATATATAAAAAAAACGGAGTATGTTTATTGGGATAGGCACTACTCTATGGTATCTGTGTTGCTTAATGAGCAACAAAAACACTTTATCGACCCACTATGCCCCACTTTGCACATAGCTTTGTTCAAACCCACGAC